CTCTAACCTATTAGTCTCCTTTTTCCATATTTCTATGATTTTATTAATGGAATTTTAAGGTTACTGAAAGGTCAATCTACTTTAAGATGGCCACTGCAGTATATTTGAAATTACTGTCTGAAGCATTTTATGAACTTGTCTTTGAACAGTAGTTTTAAAGAAGAACTACTGTAAAGATAAAAAATCACCATCTAAGGTTGGGCTAAAGCAGAACCTGCAACAAAGGTTCCTCACAGTTGACTGTTACTAATCACAGCAGTCTTTAGATGGAGATATGTGGGAAGGTTTAGTAGTAAATCAGACTGCATTGTGTGTATTTATTATATTTTGTCACAACCACGGACATACCGCAGACAGATCTAATCCCCTGCTACTCTCTGAAAACATTATGGGATTTGGACCGTCCAACAAGTATTTACAAAAAAATGGGGAGGGGGACAGTTTTACAAATGTATTACTGAAAGTAGAACTCCTAGGAAAATATGTTTTGAGTTTTTGGTAGGAAGTCAGGTTTTTATAACTGTTTTCTTGTTGGAAAGGTTGCTCAACCCTTCCTGTTCTGGTCACACTATTGATGTAAGGACATTTCAACAGGAACATGGACAACAAATAAACACTGACGCAGGTACTAATACCTTTCCAGCTCTAGCCAACCCAAAAAGTTTTGGTTTACGGTAGGGATGCACCGATACCATTTTTTCCAGACCGAGTACCGTTATTTTTCCTCAAGTACTCGTCGATACCAATTATCGATACTTTTTTAGTGTCATGTGACAGTTTTTCTAAAACAATACAGATTAATGATTTTATGACAGTGGTGAAGTGCCAGAGCCAGGTCACAGCTGCAAATGCTGCTACCCTGGTAGTTCTGCCACTGACGCCACGCTGTTGAGGGACTACAAATCCCAGCAATACATTATATAACAATGCAGAATACCACCAGCGATAGAGGACTACAAATCCCAGCAAATATATTATACAGCTACGCAGAATACCAATAGCTGTAGAGGACTACAAAGCCCAGTGATACATTATATAGCAATGACGAATGGCAAGCGGCTATAGAGGACTACAAATCCCAGCAATACATTATAGAGCAATGCAGAGTAATATGAAGCTACATGTGCTGCTCCTCCAGTGGACGATTTCAGGAGGGCTGTGCGGGGGTCTCACCAGGGGTCCAGAGGGTCTTGCTGGCAGCAGGGTTCCCCAGGAAGGAGATGTCCAAGCACAGGACCTCAGGTAACCACTTCAGTTGAAAACATTTAAAGTGCCAGTATCTGCATTTAGTATCGGGGCATTTTCACGTGTACAAGTACTGTGAAAATGCTCAGTATTGGCACCAATACTGATATCGGTGCTTCCCTAGTTTGGGGTATTAAGCATTGTGCCTAACCTGCACTGCACACATTTCTTTATATCCTTCCACAAAATAAGGAGCCCACAATTTTCTCTAAATTATATTGAAAGCGACCAAAGCTATTGACATCCATCATTTTTTATTCCATATTTAATAAAATTTAGACTGCTTTTTGATTCAATACATTTTAAATAATAAAACAAATTAAAATTGGCAATCACTGTAAACAAGTGATTTCTGTAGCTGTCGGAGCACTTGCCAACAGGTAGCTTCAGCTGTCTCAGGTTTGAAGGATGCCTTCTCCAGACTGCATGTTTCAGCTCATAGACGTTTGATAAGATTCATATCAGGGCTCACAGAAGGCCACTTCAGAATAGTCCAATGTTTTGTTCTTGGCTACTGTGTGTTGGTCATGGTCGTGTTGTCGGACCCACCTGTTTTCTGACATTGGGCAGTTCATTTCACCCCAGAATACCTACATCGTTTTGAGATTGAGTGTCCTGCACAGATTCAAGGCACCCCATGCCAGATGAAGCAAAGCAGCCTCCTCCATCTGTCACACTAAGTATGGTGTTCTTTTCTTTGATCAGTCACTGATATGCCTTGACATAGGAAATCAGCTGGTATCTCTTTGGAAGTTTTCTTTGGCTTTTTGTCTATTATTCACACTATCCTTCTGTTCAATCTGGGGTAGTTTTTTCGTCTTCATGTCCAGGGAGGTTGGCTGCACTCGCATGAATCTTTTTAAAGGAGAACTATGGGGTCAGTGTTTTTCCCCATAGTTCTCCTTAGGGTAACGGGAGGACACAAACTAGCGTCCTCCCGTTACCCTAAGCTCAGTATAGCTGTAGCTGTAGCTCAGCTGTAGCTCGCGGTATCCTGAGATGCCGCAGCGGATCCCGACGTAGATGACGGGATCCGCCCAGCTGCGTGAGTGACAGCTGGCTCTACCTATCTAGAGGCAGAGCCAGCTGTACCCGCCCCCTCCCCCTGTCCGTTCCGCCAGTCAGCGCTGGCAGATCGGAGCGGGGAATCCAGCCCCTCCCCCTGCCACGGCAGAGAGCCGTGACAGGATCGAGAGGTGAGCGAACCTGGTATGTGTTCGCTCACCTCCCGATCTACTGAGCCGACCTGTGACAGTCTCATTGTCACAGGTCGGCTAGAACTATGAGGTGAGTGAAAATCACTCATCTCATAGTTCTCCTTTAAGTATATCCAAACCAAACATTTAATATATTGCAGCTTAACAATCCTCAGATGCGGTGGCTACATTAGTGCTTTTTATTTTTACACAGTGTTCGAACCAGTAAGCCTGTTACTTCTCAAACTCCTTTAACAGACCAAAGTGTCCAGCAGAAGTGGCAGTTAGGGGGCTGAGGCACACCATTTAAGACTGACAGGTGTGTTTACAATGGTCAACTTTTATATCCCAAAAGGAAAAGAACTCTTGTTGTAACTGTTTAAAAAGAGTTAGCTGGACTTTACCCTTTAAAGTGACAGACAGAATCTGGAGCAGTTGTCCATAGCATCCAATCAGCTCCTCTCTTTAGTTTGTTCAGTTAAGCTTTGAAAATGACAGAGAGAAGCTTATTGGTTTGCCATGCCCAGCTGCTCCAGATTTGATGCATTCCCCTCCTTATGTATTTTTATAAATGTAACTGAAACATGCTAAACTCTGTGCAGTTAAACATGTAAAACAGCCCATGTTTTAACATTGAAGCTTGCTGTGTAAAATACTTACCTCCCTCCATGCTCCAGAAATATTCATTGGGGGGCCCACACCCAGTGACACACAGCCTTTGCTTGGAAATTTTCCCTTTTTGGTCCTCTTCCCCCAATACACTTGTGCCACGACCCCATTTATCCTTATTGGTGAGTCATACTCATTGTGGCCTCTAGCCATCCTACAAAGTGCAGCTTACCCATATGCATAAATAGAGCCGCGGCACACATGCACAGTAAAAACAGGACCTGGTGGGGATGTTTTCCGAGCAAATTGTGTGCAGCACCGAGTAGAGCCGCACATTGAATATCACTGGAACAGGGAAGCTCTTTTTCATGTCAGGCTGCAGTCAGGGGGTTAGAGGATTCATTAAAGGACAACTATACTATGGGTATTCGTATCCTTTAAAGCTTTATCTCTGTGCATCTGATAAAAAGGGAAATCCCCTTTAAAAATAATTTTGTTCCTGTAGTGTTAACCTGAATTAATCTCAAGAGTTCTGAACTGCAAGTAAGCCTTGCCCAGTACTTTTATAAATATATGGTGTTGCCAGTGCTGATCTCTTTTGGAAGATGTTATTTTGCTGTTATAATGACCCTCTGGCTTCAGTGCTTTGTAATCACAGACAAAGATCAGTATGCAAACCAGGAGTTCTGACTTCCCTTTCTGCTTGCTTGGTTATGGTTAGTGATTTAAAGTATTAAGCCAGAGACAGCCCAGCACCCACTGTTTGTTATTCCCCACATGTACTAAGCTAAAGAAGATACCCTAGCAAATCGAATAGAACCTATTTGCCTTGAGTAAATCCACCCCTGTGACTCAAAGCATAGACCCAATGAATCAACATCACAGCCAATCCGCACTGGCAACTAATATTTATCTTATGACAGGTATACTTTATACTCACAGAACCTGCACTATGTGATTAATCATTTAGAGCCAGTTCAAAGCAGCATTGGCTACAAATGGTCTTTATTTGCTGTAAACAAGAAAATCCATATCCCAGGCAACTAGAATTTTCAGGAAGTGGTCAGGATAAGCCACGTACCTTGCCAAAAATATAGTCTTTGTGATGTATTACAATAGGGACATTAATAAACACAAGATAAACTGTAAAGGACTTTAAAGTTAAAACATTGCCTACTTAATTAGAAGATCCAAAAAGAAAGATTCTAGCAGTGAGGGCTGAGCCACTTTTTAGCAGTCTTGACAATATATCATGCAGGTGCACAGTAAAAAGTTTGTTTTTTATTATATATATATATATTTTTTTTTTCTTTTTAATGAAAACTACAGA